CACGCTCTGCTCTCTACTGCTGTACATTCTCCAGTACACATGCTCTGTTCTCTACATTGCTGCCACAGACCTTGGCCTGCTTCCTGTTATCAGCTCGTTGTTTATCTTCTGATCGCTACTGGCTAATATCTGGTATTGCTTGGAGCAATATTCATATTTTTTGGAGTGTCTATACATTTATAACCCAAACTGGTCTCAACCCATTCAGGTATTTTCTGTATAGTGATAAACAATATTGCCAAAATACACTGAATTATAATATAAAAAGCCATCACTAATGTACACAGTATATTATACATAATTGAAAACTACCTATTGACTAATTCTGTTGTAATTGTTATACATATTATCATACATTAAATATACATGTGTTTGTGTACCATAGGCTAATGATAAAGGGGACATATTTCCAATATGGGGGACATGTTGGGGATTTCAGTTTCTATTTGCATTAGCTTGTGGGGAAGATTTACTAACAAGTACTCCAGCACTCAGAGTTTCATTTCCTTTGATTTTCCAAAAAGGTGAGTAATTTTTCTGTAATCTATGTCAGCCATATGATTGGTTCTCAGGGATGTCTGATTTCAGTTTATATTGGATTGCAGTTGCCTTTTCTTTTTTTTTATAAGATTTGATGAAATATGGCCAGGCAGTGGCCATTTTGTGTTTCATTATGTTGAATATTACACCATTTCCGTTGGCAAGCAATGGTCACACCCCTGTTCAAAAACATTACAGCGTGGTAATATATATATGTATACCTAATTTTGTTGTGATGTAATCCAATATTAGCGACTTGTGGCCACTTTTGTAACATAAATTTGTCCTCACAACCATATCTTAGAGACAACTTGAGTTGTCAGGCAGGTACACATATTTGATTTCTTGAACTGATACAACATGACCAACTGGTAGCCATTTTGATTTCTTGAACTGATACAACATGACCAACTGATAGCCATTTTGATTTCTTGAACTGATACAACATGACCAACTGGTAGCCATTTTGATTTCTTGAACTGATACAACATGGCCAACTGGTAGCCATTTTGATTTCTTGAACTGATACAACATGACCAACTGATAGCCATTTTGATTTCTTGAACTGATACAACATGACCAACTGATAGCCATTTTGATTTCTTGAACTGATACAACATGACCAACTGGTAGCCATTTTGATTTCTTGAACTGATACAACATGACCAACTGATAGCCATTTTGATTTCTTGAACTGATACAACATGACCAACTGATAGCCATTTTGATTTCTTGAACTGATACAACATGACCAACTGATAGCCATTTTGATTTCTTGAACTGATACAACATGACCAACTGATAGCCATTTTGATTTCTTGAACTGATACAACATGACCAACTGATAGCCATTTTGATTTCTTGAACTGATACAACATGACCAACTGGTAGCCATTTTGATTTCTTGAACTGATACAACATGACCAACTGGTAGCCATTTTGATTTCTTGAACTGATACAACATGACCAACTGATAGCCATTTTGATTTCTTGAACTGATACAACATGACCAACTGATAGCCATTTTATTTGTTTTTGTTCTAATAGCTGAATAGTGTCCACAATCATTTCTCAGACATGACTTGTTAAATTTCATTCAAACTTGTTTTAGACAGGTGGTCATTGTATTTTGTTGTGTTCATGTAGGTTTTCCTGGTTAAGGGTTTTCACACTCTATTATTTTCAGTTTTGACTGAGATAGTTTAACTCAAATATTTATTCTTTTTAATACAGTATTAATATGTCATGTCATGTCATCTCATGATCATTTGTTTAATAGGATATGAAACAAGTAAATTATTCAAGAATGCCCCAGATGACATCATTGATATCCTGGCCAATCAGAATGTAACATTTAATGCTCATAATGATGGTATTACTCCTACGGTGAGAAATAACAGCTAATTCTTTTCTTTTTTCTCTTAAATTTTGATAAATTTAGTACAAATTAGATTGTATGCTACGAAAGGTTTGTGTACATGAGATGGTTACAATGGTTCATGTAGTTGACTAGTCAAACCTCTGACATTGGTTCATTTGGTCACTTTTCACCATTTTATTTTTTTTTAATACTTGATTAATTTGTTCATTTCTGTTGGTTAATTGTCCAGGATTGGTTATTTCTAATTGGTCAGTTCTCTGTTAAATATTTGGTAAATTATCTGGGGTTGGTCCATTCCAATTGGTTAATTATTTCAGGTATGTACGATCTAGAAAAAGTGCCATATGCGAGTACCAAGTCGCAAGTAGCAAAATATGCCATATGCGAGTGGTAAAAACGACATATCGAGAAGTAAAATGTATCATTTGCGAGTAGCAAAAAAGCCCTATGCAAGGGGTAATACAAAGGCCAGGAAAACGGGTGTATGAGAGGGGTGGAGTCATTTGCCAGTTTCCTCAACGGCTGGATTCATTTGCTTATAATATAATAACGTATCTTCAAATGTGTTTTATCACAGTAAAATCAAATATTTACCATGGTTATGAAATGATGTGTACATGGTTGGTTAAGATTGGCATGATGCTGTTGAGGCTTTTTACTTTAGGGGTGATTCCTATATAAAAATAATGGTAGCAAATATGTGTCAATGCGATCTAGCCTAGGTGTTACTCAACATTACAGTCGACAGGTGTACGCAGATTACATTGCGAAGGTCGCAAATAAAAGCAGCTTTAACTACTATTTCCATGTAGTGCTTTTTGTTTATTATTCATGTGAGTGTTTATATCAAAAAGTTTGTTCAGTCGTTTGCATAGAATCGATCTTCGCTCTTCACACTGCACAGGAAACGTTACAGTACAATAATTTAATAAACTCCACATAACATGTGAAAAAATTTGTTTGTTTCGGTAAAATTAGTATGAACCCATGGTCTGCGATTAAAGAATCATAGAATTATAAATGTAGTCAGTAAAAACGGTTGGTCACAGTTAAATGATAACAGTGGCAGGTTTCAAAAGTAGTCACACCTCAGAGAGGTGTTAAATTTTGCCACAACCCAAGTGTTAACTAGCACACAATTCCAAGATACATGTAATACATCGACACATATTGATAGCATGTTAAGTGATAAGTCGGCATGTTTACGAGCGTCCCTCACGCATGGAATGTATTTACACGCAACCCAGATCAAATTGAATTGAAACAACTTGAAACAAAGAAGCGTCTGCCGCTGCTTGACTGGGATTGAGAGACAATATTTACGGGTAAATACTAGTAGAAGACTTAGCCTTAATGCCCTAAACACTTCGACCTAACCACTTTACTTGTACAAGTAGCAAAAGTTTTATTTTTTCTTAAAATAAGAATGGACATGTTAGCGTTGAAATAATCATAGAAGTACAGTTATCATCAGTACAAGTAGACTCGCTGAACAGGAACTCACACGCGAGCCAATGGAAACAATGGCTGGTTTCAAAGCAATTTTGTCCCAGACAAGACAATGGAATGGATCGGTTTCAAAATGATATATATTATATAGCTACGCGATTGCAGAATCATTTTGCATATGAATAATATTCACACTCGCAAAATACACATTTGACTCTTCGCATAGGGCTTTTTTGCTACTCGCATATGACACATTTTACCACTCACATATGCCGTTTTTACCACTCGTATATGCCGTTTTGGCATATGGTATATGTTGCCATTATTAGGAAAATACAGACCTTCATCAATACTTGTCTTAGGCAAATTTTCTGGCCTGAGGTAATTAGTAACCAAGACTTGTGGGAGATTGCTCATCAGCAACCCATCGAGGCAGAGCTCATGCAGAGACGATGGCGGTGGATTGGCCACACCCTACGGAAACCAATGCCTAATATTACTAGACAGGCATTGACTTGGAATCCTCAAGGAAAAAGAAAGAGGGGAAGGCCTCGTAACTCATGGCGCAGAGACATGGAGGCAGATGTTAAGAAGATGGGCCGCACATGGAAAGAACTGGAAACGCTGGCTCAGGACCGCTCTGCCTGGAGGAACCTGGTTGACGGCCTATGTCCCAGGAGGGGCGATAGGCATAAATAAAAAAAAAATATATGGCATATTTTGCTACTTGCGACTCGCAACTTGGTACATTTTAGCTACTTGCGACTTGCAACTTAGTACTTGCAACTTGGTACTCGCATATGGCACTTTTTCTAGGTCGTACATACCTCATTATTTGATTAATTCTAATTAATCAATTGTTA